TTTAGCATGTCATAATTATGATTTAGCATGCCATAATTATGATTTAGTATCTTATAATTGTGATTTAGCATGTCAATTATGATTTAGCATATCATAATGACTTTGCATCTCATAATTATGCTTTAGCATCTTATAATTATGACTTAGCATGACATAATTTTGATTAGGCATGCCATAATTATGATTTAGTATCGTATAAATATGATTTAGCATATCATAATTATGATTTAGCATGCCATAATTATAATTGAGCATCTTGTAATTATGATTTAGCATGTCAATCATGATTTTGCATGCTATAATTGTGATTTAGCATGTCATAACAACTTCATGTCTCATAATTATGATTTAGCATTTCATGATTATGATAAAGCACCTCATGATTAATATCTAGCATATCATGGTTATGATTTAGCATGTCATAATTATGATTTTTTTAAATCTTATAATTATGATTTAGCATGCCATAATTGTGATTTAGCATTCATAATAATGACTTTGCATCTCATAATTATGATTTGGCATCTCATGATTATGACTTAGCATGCCATACTTATGATTTACCATCTTATAATTATGATTTAGCAAGCCATAATTGTGTTTTAGCATTTCATAATTATGATTTAGCATCTTATATTATTATTTTGCATATAATTATATTTTTTATGCCATAATTATGATTTATCATCTTAAAATTACGATTTAGCATGCCATAATTGTAATTTAGCATGCCATAATTGTAATTTAGCATGCCATAATTGTGATTTAGCATGCCATAATTGTAATTTAGCATGCCATAATTGTGATTTAGCATGCCATAATTGTAATTTAGCATGCCATAATTGTAATTTAGTATGCCATAATTGTGATTTAGCATGTCATAAAAAAGACTTTGCATCTCATAATTATGATTTAGCATCTTATAATTATGGATTAGCACGTCAATTATGATTTAGCATCTTATAAATATGATTTAGCATCTCATAATTATGAGTGTTATTTGATCAAAACATATACATTTTTTATTCTTTACATGAATCTGGTATTTTCTTTTGCCCCAAAACAGTAAAAAAATTTGATAAATTTGTGTATTTTAGCATCTCATAATTATGATTTTTCATCTCATAATTATGATTTAGCATCTGATAGTTATGATTTAGCATGTCATTTATGATTTAGCATGTCATAATTGTGATAGCATATCATACTAATGACTTAGCATTTCATAATTATGATTTAGCGTCTTATAATTATGATTTAGTACCTTATAATTATGATTTAGCATGTCATAATTATGATTTAGCATGCCATAATTATAATTTAACATCTTATAATTATGATTTAGCATGCCATAATTATAATTTAACATCTTATCATTATGATTTAGCATGCCATAATTTTGATTTAGCATGTCATAATAACGACTTTGCGTCTCATAATTATGATTTAGCATTTCATGATTATGATTTAGCACCTCATGATGATAATCTAGCATCTCATGGTTATGATTTAGCATGTCATAATTATGATTTAGCATGCCATAATTATGACTTAGCATGTCATAATTATGATTTAGCATGCCATAAATATGACTTAGCATCTTATAATTATGGATTAGCATCTCATAATTATGATTTTGCATCTTATAATTATGATTTAGCATGTCATAATTATGAGATAATCTCCAAGTTAAACAGCATCTCATTCATAGGACAGTATCTTATAATATTGACCCAACATATTAATGATTAGGTATCTCACATTAACTTAGCAACTCATAATTAAGATTTAGCATCACATAATTATGACTTAGCATCCCATGTTTATTAATAAGCACCTCACAGTTAAGACTTAGCATTATTATGGCATCTCATATTCACCACAAACGTGTGTACTGTTAAAATATTTACAAACAGCTGCAGGACTCATTAGACAAAGCACGTCCATCCACATTACATCTGCACTGTGATTATTGTAGGTAACAGACATTTACTCTGAAAACGTTATAGTTGACTTTACACTTTTATAGAGCTCAGAATGTGAATTTCTGTTCATTTCTGTGGTCTTCACCAGATAAAGCTGGTAAAATAAAGGTTTAAAGAAAAAGCTGGTGTGGCCTACTGTAGCAGCAGAGAACAGTGTCTCTTTAAAGCTTTCTGTTACAAATTACAGCTGTCGAGACATTTTCACTCCGTATTTTCTCTCGTTTCGACAGAAACGCCGACGAGCCGCTCAGCTTTACGAACCACACGGAGAGAAACAAAGCGACGTCCGGGCGTCCATGAAGCCTGAAGCCGCGTCTCGCTCGGCGGTACAATGGACACCATCTTCCGCCTCTTGTCCTCGCGGACAGACCGTCCGCGCAGCTGCCTGCTCGAAATGTTTTGGTTTTTTAACAAACAGCCGCGCGTTCCGGAAGTAAAGCAGCGAGCCTGAGAGCACTACAAACATTAGCACGCACACGGTTACCTTTGAGTCACGCCGAACTTTCCGGGACAGT